ACCAGGGAGATGCAGAGCAGCTTTTCTCAGCAGACACCTCAGCTTGAGAATAAAGGACTGAGGGAAGTGAGGTGTGGGAGAATAAAACTGAGCTCTGGAGAAATGTTTGGCTAGAGTTTCCCCTACAATATGTACCAGTTCCGACTTACATACAAATTCAACTTAAGAACAAACCTACAGTCCCTATCTTGTACGTAACCCAGGGACTGCCTGTACTTAAAATCCCTTTGCCTTTCTGCACTAGATTCTACCCTTAGTAGCACTGATAGAGCTGCACCTGTTCAGAAAAATTCTTTAAAATATTCTAGGATAGGGAACCCTCTTTTGCTTAAGTGAGGTGTGGGAGAATAAAACTGAGCTCTGGAGAAATGTTTGGCTAGAGTTTCCCTTACAATATGTACCAGTTCCAACTTACATACAAATTCAACTTAAGAACAAACCTACAGTCCCTATCTTGTACGTAACCCGGGGACTGCCTGTAGTGTAGAAATGAGTCTAATCTCACTCTGATCACAAGTGGCCATTTACCCGTAATGCAAAACCTCCACATAATTGGTTTTGATTATCAGTCAAAATGCAGGAAAGGTCTTAACAGGAGAAGGCAGATAGCATTTTTTTATCTGGGTAGGGAAAACTTACGTAGCACCGATTGGTTTTAATCAATGGTGTCAGCTTCTCAGTTTACTCGCCCTGAAAATAACATAGGGGGTTCCAATAATTCATGTTCTTTGCAGCCTCAAAACAAAATAATTTTTCTAATGGCTTCATCTATAGTACTGCTATTGCAAGACTATAATATTAATCAAACTACATTTTTCCGTAGCATTTCAGGACTCGCAGATCAAATATTTGACAGAGAGCTCCTTATTCTTTATTTGTATTTGTCATTTTCCATGTTTGGCATCCTCGTTAGTGCAGTGCTTGTATTCTCAAATCCCACCGAGATGTGTAGGCATTGAAGATGCTTACTGGACTATGTAGCATTAAATACTAAGAGAAAGGATGATTGAGTAATATCTATTTTTTCATGTAACCCCTATTTTTCTACTGTTCTCTTAAAAAAAGAAAGTGCTAAATATCATCTGAGACTATTGTGATTCATATGGGGAACCAAAGTGCTGTTAATATTTCACTGTCTTCCTATAAATGCAAAACAATGAGGCTCACAACAGTACTGCTTTCAAATAAATAGTTTCAGAGGGGTAGTCATGTTAGTTTGTAATTGGAAAAACTTAAAAAAAAACATTCTTGCAGCATCTTAGAGATTAACAAAAAATGTAGATGGTATCATGAGCTTTCGTGGGCACAACCCTTAATCAAGTCATCTGAAGAAGTGGGTTGTGCCCACGAAAGCTTGTGATACCATCTACGTTTTTGTTAGTCACTAAGATTCTGCAAGACTATTTGCTGTTTTTTAAGTTTTCCCAGTTACAGACTAACATGGCTACCCCGCTGAAACTTTTGAACAGTCCTGTTATTTGTAATGGGGAAAGTGAGCCTTTTGTTAACTGCTTAGTAGTTTCAGACAAAAAGCTATGTTGTCTATATCCCTTCTGTATAGAACTAGCTATGGAGTCATCTTAAAATTGTAATGTCCAAGATGCAGTTCCACAAACACTAGAAAGACATATATGGATATTTTGGCTAAGAGGCTGGAGAGAGGGCTTACAGTAAATGAGGAGGGGAAATGAAATTACACGAGTGGGAAGAGCACTAAGGGTGCATCTACCCAGTGGCACTAGCTGATAATAAACTACGCAATTTGAGCTATGTGAATTACGTAGCTTATTTCAAGAGAGTCTATTTTGACAAATCCCTTAATCCTTGTGGAACGAGGTTTACTGGGATGTCAGAATAACAAGCCCATTATTTTGATTGCATTTTAAAATAACGGGTGTGCTGTGAAGACGTGGAAAATGCTATTTCAGGATACCGGATGTATCCCGAAATAGCGCTCACTGTCTAGACATTCCTTAAGTGAGCTACATATAAGGTCAGCAGAAAACAGAGTTGAAGGAAAAGATGCATTGAAACCAGGGAAGAGAAGAGAAATATGAGAGAAGAACAGAGAATGTGGAACAACCAGAGAAGTAGCAGAAGCAGATGGATGGGATTAAAGGAAAGTGGAACAACAGAGGATGAGAGAAGGGAAATAATAAGAAAAAACAAACCAGACAGCAGGGAAAGAAGATGGGTGGGAGGGAGGAATGGAAGGACAATACAAGAGAAAAGAATTAGGATTTTAAGGTTGGAAAATGGGGTTTTTATTACCTGGCCACTCACATTGGAAAGTACACATCAGGCTGTTCTATTCAGGAGGTTTTCATTCTTTGTGCATATGTACAAAATTGAAAGAAGACGAAGATACAAGAGAGCAAATATATTTGATTTGCTTATTGTGGACACTATGGTAGAGGCAATTTTTCAGGCTTTGAAATCCAATAACGGTTAATACATTTGCCTTTGTGCTATTTTGTAACACCTATTGTCTACATAATAAACAAGGCAATAGTGCTAGCTATCTCTGTAACCTCAAGGATAGGAAATAACATATACAGAGGAGCTTAAATTCTGCAAAATACAGGAAAATCTGCAAAACTCCCTAAGACTCCCTAAGACACCTGTAGACACCTGTGCTGTCCCTCATTAGACAGATTATATCACTGTTATTGAAATGATATTACAGTCACAAACTTCTGGGCTTGTGAGAAATGTTTTCCATTGTCTTAGCTCATTCCATAATAAATGCATCACAATGCATAATCAGTCACAAATGGCATTTTTCTCAGCCCTGGTAAGTTCAGAATTACATGAAGTCTAAATTACTCCTGTCCCAGGAGACTGATTCTTTGAGGTCAGGTCAAGCTCATGAAGGGGTGAGAGTGCAAAGAAGTTTGTATTGCAGCCTCTTGAAATGCACCCATCATACATAATAGCCTTTGCTTCTGTCATAACCAGAACTGTAAGAGCATTTAACTAGTTTATTGCCAGTGCTTCCCCATGCTAGCAGTAGAATGAAGATCTAATTACGGGAAGCAGATAGCCAAGTGGCTAAGGCCCCCAGACTGGAAGTAAGGGGAGACCTGGTTCTATTCCTTCTGCAAGCACTGACTTATCCTGTGATCTGGGATGAGTCACATAATCATTGCTTGGTTCTTTTGTTCCCCTCTGTTTAGATGTAAACATGTTAGGGCAAAGACTGTCTCTTATTGTTTATCTAGCACAAAGGGTGCCTAAGGCCTATTGGGCCTCTGGTCACTACTATAATATTAAATCTAACGGCAGGCTGAGAGTTAAACTTTCACAGACATAACTGTTCATATTTTCATTAAATGAAAAGATCTAACATCTTGATTTACTCCAAGGCAATCAATAGGTTAGTATCTTCTTCAGTTTTTCTTTGAAAGTCATAGGACTCTCAGTGAAAAATACAAAATTATTCATTCTTTTATCTCTTTTTTTGTCAGCACCAGAATTATTAGTTTTAATCAAAAGATGGAAATATTAATGCCTGGAAGACTTCAGTTTTTGGGATAGAAACAAACTGTCTTTTCTTTTCCATTCATGATTTACATATAAAAATATCCACTGTGCTTCTAGTTCCAGTCATTTTCTCAGAATGTACTGGAATGTCTGTAAAGTGTCTACTGCAAAGAGCAATGAAGCAAGTAATAGCTAAAAATAAATAAATAGGATTTTAAAAATGCATTTGTGATATGAAAAAAAAGACATACACAAAGAGGAAAACTGCTACGCACATGGTAAAGCGGCCTTACATGAACATCTGGTGAAAGAATAAATTTTCTTTGCATCAGTAAATTCTGCATTAGCTCAGTGGCCCTGACGCCTACATGGGCAGTTTGTCAGGCATTCTGGGACAGATGGTCACCCTCTCTTTGGACGTTGGATTTCAGAGAGGAGAATGTTTGCATTAGTCATCTCTTACTGCCCTGCCTTTCTCCTATGACTGTGGTCACTGCGCTAATATACTATGTTACTGAGTATCATCTTTGAGTCATCCCTTTCTCTGGCTCTGCCCATGGAGGCCGTACCCAAATCTTGTCATTTCTCCATATCCTCTTTAATATCCAGACTTTCTTTCTGACCACACAATGAGAATTCCCACAGAGGCCTTCACCTTCTTCCATTTCCTCTGTGGAGGCCTCCTTCCCCTAGTCTTGCCTCTCAAATCCCCATCTCATCCCATTCAAGTAAAAAATGCAGCTGCTAATCTTGCCCATGTCTATTATAATGCAAATAAAACTAATAGTGGCAGCTTGCATCAGAATGTCATAGATACCTGCATGTGGAAGAGGAGACGCTGTTGCGAAAGAAGCGCTGAAGCAAAAGCAACTAAAGCCCAGTGATATATTCTGGTTTTTGCTTAGGGTGAGATTCTGTGCTGAGTCTCTGAGCTGCAAGGGAAGAGGGGGCTAATGGAAAAATTAAGCCACCTTGAGCTTCCTCGCCAGTGAGCCGTTCCAGGGGTTGGAGAGGCCCTCCCCAGCAATGTCTATGGGCTGCAGTGGTGCTTGTGGTTTCTACAGCACGGCATTGTAGTCTCAACCTCAACACAATTCTCCTGTTCCCATTCCCAGCATTCCTATGATGCCAGGATTTGCAAATGGATCCTCAGAGGACATCCAGGCAGTTATTTGTTTGCAATGCCTGCCCCAGGGAATCCTCCTTGCGGAGATGTGAGTTTTTAGGGCTCCTTTCTGTCACTCTGATCCATTCAGTTGGCATGCAAGGGTTGAAGTGAGGGTGAAGATCACAGCCCAGGTAGTATCAGCATGATGTATAAAGTGTTTCATATTTCCTGCTAACTTACCAAGGACTCCTTTGAATTGTGAAGAAATCTTAATAATGTTCTGTCATTTCTGCACATTCCGTACCTACTTGGCGCTGAGTGATGTGGTGCAAAAAAAAAGGCAGTTCTGCACACATGCCCACCTAATCTGCATTGAGTCATTCACCCTGTGTCTTGTTTTCTTTAATAGGGTTGGCATAGATCCAGATGAAGACCTGAAAGCAGAAACTGCAAGCCAGGCAAGTTACAGCTATTGATATATCTGTATTGAATAACATAATGTCCAGTCATGTTTAGTTTGTGTTTCTTAGTGCAGTAACTGGAAATCATTACTGCAGGGTTATCTCTGCTATAAATGCAGAAGATGTACAAAACCGTACACGCGTCAAAATATTTTGTAACTGTTTATTGAGAAGACAGGTACATATATTTTCCAGTTGCACCGGGGCACCAGAATAAGTTTATCCGATACTGGATTTTGAGGAATGCATTGCAAATAGATATTGATGTGATGAAATATTAGTAAATATTTGCTATGGCAAATCCAAAGCTTGAATTAGCTACCAACACCGTTTATGAAAAGAAAAGTTTTCAGAACAAAGCTCAGTTCTCTGGATTAAACAAAGGAACAATGAATGATTGAAATTCTCAACTCTGGTATCAGGGTAGGTCAGGTTGCTGACAGTGTAGGTTTGTCATTTTTAACATGGCCATATGAACATACATCTGGGTTAAAAAAAAACGTACACCAATAGGGACTAAGAAAACTTCATGTGCTGATCTGTCACCCCATTGCCTCTGCCTTTTGGGGCGCTTATCTTTGAAAATGTTTAAAATATAGCTGAGGTGAAATCCCAGCCCTAGTCAAGTTTTCCTCATGAACATTCACTAGTCTGCCATGTTTGGATCTACAAAATGGAGTTTATGTGCTTTTGAGCTCCCAGGAAGGCTATGTCTACACTGCGGGGGTTTTCCAGGATACCTGGAAAAGCTCTGCAGTCTAGACATAGCCCTTATCCCCAGCCTCCTTCCAGCAGTGGCTTGTGGTGGGAGAGGTCTGGGAAGGGGCCCCCCCTGGTGGTCAGAAGTCTAGGCAGCCTCCCCAGAACCTGTGAACAGGAGCCCAGGGGTGCTCCGGTGCTGTTTCCTGGGCTGGGTGGCACAGACTGGTGCTGCATGTGCCTCAACATACATGGACTGCAGCAGAATAGCCAGGCCGAGAAGACCAAGCAACGATCACACAATAGCCCTTCAGCACCCACCACCTCCACCCTGTTTGTGTGAAAAACTAAGAGCACTTACCTGTTTCAGCACCCACCACCTCCAGCCTGTTTGTGTGAAAAACTGAGCACTTACCTGATGATCCCTCCCCAGCCTTGGAGGATACCTGGGACACATCCAGGCCGTAGGGTGCCAGCTCTAAAGTGAGCGTGGTGATGGTGTTCACCATGTCCTCGTCTTCCTCCTACTGTGCTGTAACCCCCACCACCCCAGGATGCAGTGCAGGTCATCAAAACAGGGGCAAGAGTGGGGTCCTGCCCCACAGTGTGAGCTGCGCTCCTTCGCCCTGATGTAAGCCTGCCGGAGCTCTTTGACTTTTCTCTGGATATGCACCAGGGTCCCGGTGTGGCCCTTTGTGGCCAGGCTCTTGGCCATCTGGCCATATATATGACAAATTCGTTTATCTGCTCGCCCTTGGCGAGTAGATTTCAGCCGGTCACCCTGTTCACCAGCGGTGCGCGCATGCACAGTGCAGGTCTGGCACATGTGCAGTGCGGGGCTGGCGAGTGGATTTCGCCACGGTTTGTCGAGCCCTGTATATCAGCATTGTGCCACCTGGAGCAGAGATCCTGGTGTTTCTCTTCGTCGTCCCACACCTCGAGGAGGGCCAGGATCTCCACCCCAGACCAAGATGGCACACTCCTCTTGCAGCCTCTAGCAGGCTCCTGGAACTCTGTGCGTGCTCCCTGGGATGGGCAGGGGAACTTGGGGGGCCTGTGGCTGGGACATGGCACCCAGACGTCAGTCACTGGCAGCTGCGCTGTGGCTGGAGGCTCTGAGGGCAGGCTTCCTGTCACAAGCCCTGTCCCCTTTAAGGGTATGTCTAAACTACAAAGTTAATTCGAACTAACTTAGTTCGAATTAGTTAATTCGAACTAACTTAGTTCGAATTAGTTAATTCGAACTAACTTAGTTCGAATTAGTTAATTCGAACTAACTTAGTTCGAATTAGTTAATTCGAACTAACTTAGTTCGAATTAGTTAATTCGAACTAACTTAGTTCGAATTAGTTAATTCGAACTAACTTAGTTCGAATTAGTTAATTCGAACTAACTTAGTTCGAATTAGTTAATTCGAACTAACTTAGTTCGAATTAGTTAATTCGAACTAACTTAGTTCGAATTAGTTAATTCGAACTAACTTAGTTCGAATTAGTTAATTCGAACTAACTTAGTTCGAATTAGTTAATTCGAACTAACTTAGTTCGAATTAGTTAATTCGAACTAACTTAGTTCGAATTAGTTAATTCGAACTAACTTAGTTCGAATTAGTTAATTCGAACTAACTTAGTTCGAATTAGTTAATTCGAACTAACTTAGTTCGAATTAGTTAATTCGAACTAACTTAGTTCGAATTAGTTAATTCGAACTAACTTAGTTCGAATTAGTTAATTCGAACTAACTTAGTTCGAATTAGTTAATTCGAACTAACTTAGTTCGAATTAGTTAATTCGAACTAACTTAGTTCGAATTAGTTAATTCGAACTAACTTAGTTCGAATTAGTTAATTCGAACTAACTTAGTTCGAATTAGTTAATTCGAACTAACTTAGTTCGAATTAGTTAATTCGAACTAACTTAGTTCGAATTAGTTAATTCGAACTAACTTAGTTCGAATTAGTTAATTCGAACTAACTTAGTTCGAATTAGTTAATTCGAACTAACTTAGTTCGAATTAGTTAATTCGAACTAACTTAGTTCGAATTAGTTAATTCGAACTAACTTAGTTCGAATTAGTTAATTCGAACTAACTTAGTTCGAATTAGTTAATTCGAACTAACTTAGTTCGAATTAGTTAATTCGAACTAACTTAGTTCGAATTAGTTAATTCGAACTAACTTAGTTCGAATTAGTTAATTCGAACTAACTTAGTTCGAATTAGTTAATTCGAACTAACTTAGTTCGAATTAGTTAATTCGAACTAACTTAGTTCGAATTAGTTAATTCGAACTAACTTAGTTCGAATTAGTTAATTCGAACTAACTTAGTTCGAATTAGTTAATTCGAACTAACTTAGTTCGAATTAGTTAATTCGAACTAACTTAGTTCGAATTAGTTAATTCGAACTAACTTAGTTCGAATTAGTTAATTCGAACTAACTTAGTTCGAATTAGTTAATTCGAACTAACTTAGTTCGAATTAGTTAATTCGAACTAACTTAGTTCGAATTAGTTAATTCGAACTAACTTAGTTCGAATTAGTTAATTCGAACTAACTTAGTTCGAATTAGTTAATTCGAACTAACTTAGTTCGAATTAGTTAATTCGAACTAACTTAGTTCGAATTAGTTAATTCGAACTAACTTAGTTCGAATTAGTTAATTCGAACTAACTTAGTTCGAATTAGTTAATTCGAACTAACTTAGTTCGAATTAGTTAATTCGAACTAACTTAGTTCGAATTAGTTAATTCGAACTAACTTAGTTCGAATTAGTTAATTCGAACTAACTTAGTTCGAATTAGTTAATTCGAACTAACTTAGTTCGAATTAGTTAATTCGAACTAACTTAGTTCGAATTAGTTAATTCGAACTAACTTAGTTCGAATTAGTTAATTCGAACTAACTTAGTTCGAATTAGTTAATTCGAACTAACTTAGTTCGAATTAGTTAATTCGAACTAACTTAGTTCGAATTAGTTAATTCGAACTAACTTAGTTCGAATTAGTTAATTCGAACTAACTTAGTTCGAATTAGTTAATTCGAACTAACTTAGTTCGAATTAGTTAATTCGAACTAACTTAGTTCGAATTAGTTAATTCGAACTAACTTAGTTCGAATTAGTTAATTCGAACTAACTTAGTTCGAATTAGTTAATTCGAACTAACTTAGTTCGAATTAGTTAATTCGAACTAACTTAGTTCGAATTAGTTAATTCGAACTAACTTAGTTCGAATTAGTTAATTCGAACTAACTTAGTTCGAATTAGTTAATTCGAACTAACTTAGTTCGAATTAGTTAATTCGAACTAACTTAGTTCGAATTAGTTAATTCGAACTAACTTAGTTCGAATTAGTTAATTCGAACTAACTTAGTTCGAATTAGTTAATTCGAACTAACTTAGTTCGAATTAGTTAATTCGAACTAACTTAGTTCGAATTAGTTAATTCGAACTAACTTAGTTCGAATTAGTTAATTCGAACTAACTTAGTTCGAATTAGTTAATTCGAACTAACTTAGTTCGAATTAGTTAATTCGAACTAACAGACATTAGTTCGAATTAACTAATTCGAATTAAGTTAGTTCAAATTAGTGCTTTAGTGTAGACATACCCTAAGAGCTTCAAGGGGAACAGGAACTATAGAGTTGTGATGAGTGTGGACGGAGTGGCCAGCAGGGCACCTGTGAGATTTTTCTGGAGGCCTCTCTTTTTTGACAAAACTCTTCATTCCATGTCCACACACACCCTCTTCCAAAAAAATATTTTTCAGGGGAGGCCTTATTCCTCATGGAATTAGGTTTACCAGCATCAGAAAAAGCTCTCTGTTATTTTGACTTTCTTTCAAAATAACACAATTGCAGCATGGCCGCCGTTATTCTAGAAAAACGGTGCAGTGTAGACTCACCCTTACTGTGGCTGCTAGGCTCACTCCCTGTGCAGAGACCCTCCTTGAAAGTGAGACCTCCCAGTCCCTGGGCCCTGAGACCGATGCTGAGACTCCCCAGCAGTTCAAACACAACCTTCCCAGAATGTCCCATAGGTGGGAACTCTGGTTTATAGTTTACCCCTTCAGCAATAGAAGATAGTTGAAGCAAATAGACACCAATTTTGCAGAGGAATTTCTGAAACAAAATGTGCATTCCTGTACATGAGACAGATCTAGGAATCCAATAAAACACCTGTCTATCATTCCCTGCCTCAGTTTCCTCACCACTCCTGAACAGGCTTTGGGATTTGCTCAGTGTCCTTTCACAGTTCCAGGTCCTCACTCTTCCAGCTTATGATGTCTGGAGGACCCTCCT